AGTTGGGCTCATTTTTCTTCCATAATGAGACAAGTGGCGGCCAGGGTGGGGGGCTCCTTATCTCTGGCAGACCTTCCGGATGACGAGGTGTCTGATGTGCCTGCGATCACCAGCTTCCTGGCAGCCACATGTCTACCTGCTGCCACCAACGCACCCATCCCCGCCCCACCCAGCCCAAGAATTGGTGCCTTATTCAAAATGAGCATTTGTCCTCTCAAGAAGATCCAAAGACCAGCTCACTCCCCCATTATGGACCTTCGGGACCTCAGATTCTGACTTACTGGAGTTATCCATTCCTTCTCAAGAATTTCTTTCTTTCTTTCCTTTTTTTGGGGGTAAGGGGGGTGCCAGGGATTGAACTCAGGGGCATTCAACCCCTGAGCCCCCTCCCCAGCCCTATTTTGTGTTTTATCTAGAGACAGGATCTCACTGAGTTGCTTAGGGCCTCGCTTTTGCTGAGGCTGGCTTGGAACTCACGATCCTCCTGCCTCAGCCTCCCTAGCTGCTGGGATGACAGGCAAGAATTTCTGGATTCTTGGGAATTTTGGGGACCGAACCCAGGCAAGAATTTCTATTCAAAAGTTTCTTTTGTGAGAGGACGTCACCCAAACACTAAAGAGATTTTTGTAAAAGGAACAGTAAAGGCTCTTCACACCTTAGCTGTTTTCTTCCGTTTTGCCTTGTAGTGGAATTGAACAGGGGAAGGCTTGAAATAACACAGATCCGGGTTCAAATCCAAGTTCCTCTATTTCCTGGCTGTGTGACTTTGAACAAGTCCCTTCCCCTCTCTGAGCCTTGTGTTCTTTAAACAGGCACAACAATTCCTGGGTGTTCAGGGAACTTAGGCATTGGTTCCATCCTCAAATCCTTATCTGTTGATCCTGGATAATGTTTATCATTTTCTCAGCACCCAACGGATGCTAAGCTCTGTGGGTTGAACACAAAGTATCTTCAAGATTCCCTGTTAGGCTGGATGTGGTGCTGCCTGCCTGCCATCCCAGCAACCGGGGAGGCTGAGACAGGAGGATCACAGGATGGAGGCCAGCCTCAGCAACTTAGCAAGCCCCTAAGAAATTCAGCGAGACCCTGTCTTTAAATAAAATATTTTTAAAAAAGGGCTGGGGATGGGGCTCAGTGGTTCAGCACCCCGGGTTCAATGTCCAGTACCAAAAACAAAGCAACCCAACAAAACTACCATGAACAAAAATCAAAAGGTAAATTGGATGGGCTGCTTGCTTCACGCCTTTCTGCAGCTCACAGTTGATAAAGAGTCTAAAATATCTATGAATCAGAAACAAAGAGACTTGGAGATAGGAAAAAAAAAAAAAGAGGAATTAGAGGAGAATCAGAAGACCCCTCCACCCACTCAACACATCTCTGCCAGAGGTTGTGTGTGTGTGTGTGTGTGTGTGTGTGTTGGGGTGGGGGGCTGGGAGTCAGTAATAGCATGTATATCCCCCCATTAAATTATCTCATTATTCATTTTCAAAAAACACAGCATTAATCTGATCAGTAACTGCAGTCTTCGGAATCAAGCACATTTTCATTAGCCGAGAACAAAGGAGCAAACTGGAAAGATAAATGCAACATAATGATTAGATTCTCAGCTTTGGCAGGGGCGGGGGCAGCTCAGTGGGAGAGCTCTGGCTTCGCTCCTGCGGGAGGATCGCAAGTTCAAAGCCAGCCTCAGCAATTTAGCCAGGTCCTCAGCAACTCAATGAGACCTTGCATCTCAATAAAACGTGAAAAGGGCTCGGGGTGGGGCTCAGTGGTTAAGTACCCCTGGGTTCGATCCTGGGTGCAAAAAAAAAAAAAAAAATAGTGATCTCTGGATTTGAGCTCTGGGCGGGCTCATTTGCATAGGCAAAGGGCACTCCCCTGGGGTGGCTTACTTTCTAGGAACTGGCCTGACCTTGGGAGGGGTTGTCTGTCCTAAATCTGCAAGGTCTTAGGGAGTCAAGGCTAAGGGCACCGCCACTGTGGCTCCTTGGGCTGCAGGGGAGCCCGGGTGACTTCTCCCCAGCCACCCACATACTGTCCCTCCAGTGAGCCACTCAAATCCCCGACAGAAGAAAAGACACGCAGGGGCCACCAGGGGGCGATGTTCCCCCCATCTGGCCCTCCACTGGGCTGCGTTGCTCTCCAAACACCTTCAGGCCTCCTTTGGAGATTGAGAGGCGACTTTGGTTGTTGTGATTGTTGTCTTGGTTTCTGGAGCTGTTTGTGCATTCTGCAACAGAGGAAAAAGTGAATCAAACACACACTGGGAGCAGAAAGCCAAAGGCAAAAGCAGTCTCCCATGTCACCCCCCAATCCCACCCACCGCCTGCTCCCCAGATCCTTCTCATAATGGTCTATTCAGGGTGCATCCCACAAATAGTAGCACGATGTGCACATTGTCCTCCACTCTGCTCTTATTCCATAATACTTCATATGGATTTGACCCATTCTTTGAAAAGCACCCTAAAGCCCCATAGTTTGGGGTGAGCCCCAGTCGACTTAGCAGCTCTCTCTCTTTGATGGACAGATATTTAGGCTGTTTGCAGTTCTGGCTTCTAGAAACCCAGGCTGCACTTGAATTACCCTCATGCACAGGGGACAGTATGTGCACAAACATTTCTGAAAGCTGGATCGTCTTGTGGAAGATACCTATAGGGTGCATTTTCAGATTGCTGTCCACAGGGGGTGGTAACAATGTCTACCTTCACCTTTGCGAGTGAAAGATGACAGGTCGGTCTGATTTAATTCTTAGCTAAGGGGGCAATTCTTCAAATCCTGGAGTCCAGCAGGGAGATCAGACTGAGCGCTCCAGGTTGGCCATCTTCCCAGAGCAAGGCATCTGACCTGGAGACCTACTGTGTGCTGACAGTTGGCAAGCTGAGGTCTGCAGAACTTAGTGTCCTCAAGGTAAAAATGAGAAGTGGGCTGGGCACCAAGATGCACGCCTGTCATCCCAGTGGTTTGGGAGGCGGAGGTCTCACTGAGTTGCTTAGCAACTTGCTTTTGCTGAGACTAACTTTGAACTCATGATCCTCCTGCCTCAGCCTCCAGAGTGCTGGGATTTTTTTTTTTTGGGGGGGGGGGGTGGCGCGTAGCAGGGATTGAATTTGGAGCCCTCAACACTGAGCCACATCCCCAGCCCTATTCTGAATTTTATTTAGAGACTGGGTCTCACTGAGTTGCTGTCACCATTGCTGAGGCTGGCTTTGAACTCGCAATCCTCCTGTCTCAGCCTCCCCAGCCGCTGGGATTATAGGCATGTGCCACCAGGCTCTGCTCAAATGGTTTTTAAGAAAACCCATAAATCCAGAATTTCCCCCTGAACTCTCCTGGTTTTAAAATCTTGCTCATTCAGATATTTCCAAAACACTGTAGGTGTTGAACAAAACTGTCCCATGAGCTGGGGACTGAAGCCACCTGTTTTCCGAGTTCTGAAAACTTACCCTTCCCTCTCCCATTTTGCAGATTGAGAAAACTGAGGCCCAGAGAAGGGGAGGCCTTGGCTGGAGGTGACTAGGTCAAGATCAGAGACTAGGTTCTTCTTGTCCATCACCCCCTCTCTCCTGCCACCCCCCTTGACTCTGTCTCTAGGGCTCTTTGATGGGTGTGTGTGTGTCGCCTCCTGTTTCTGGATCTCCTTAGGAGTCTCTGCCTTGTGGCCACCTCCTGCTCTTTCCTGGATGCCGCTGAGTCTCTGCCTCTTTCTTTGCCTCGAGCTCCTGCAGAGCTGGGTGCAGACACGACCCCACGACAGCCCCTTCATCCTGTGACTCCTCACTGCCCCTCCCACCCCCGCCCCAGATTTCCGGAGGAGGGGACAGGCGGGGTCCCGCGGGGCTCGCTGCCGTCAGCACCCCTCCCGGGCGACTGCGACCCCTCCCCGCTGACCTCATCGGCGCCGCAGCCTCGCGCCCATAAAAGCAGCGTCCCCACCGAGGAGCGCGCCGCTGGTGCCCCGGGTCCTAGCGGCGCTTGCAGACTTGGCGACCTGCTGACAGCGGACCCCGCGGCTCAGGATCCCGGAGCCACCCCGCGGAGCCCTAACCAGGCAGGTGAGCCCCTCCGATCCCTTGCAAGTGGCGTCCTTTCCGGAGCACTGGGAAAGGAGCGCACGATCGCCGGCCCCGGGACCCGACGGGAGCCCCAGCCCGGGGCGCACGGGCGCATCCTGCGGCTGCGGTGCGCGCCAGGTCCCCGGCACCCGGGGCGATCGGAGCCCAGCATGCATGCTGTCCCCGCCGGGATCGAAGCTTTAGGTTGGCTCCAGGGGAACCAGGGGCTGGGCGGGTCCGCGGGAGAGCCGGGGAGTTCGGATCCGAACCTCACGTTGGAAACCGAACCGCTGGCTTTGGAATGAATTAGGATGTTGGATTCCTGGTCCAGACGCAGCTCAGCGTTGCATGGAGAAGCGGAGCCTTGGATTCGGAATTTGAGCGCTCGAAATAGAATCCCAGGCCCGGGGCTGGTGGCCAGGGACAGGGAGCTCGCCTAGCTTTTGCGCAACTCCCTGGGTCCATCCCCAGCAAATAAAATAAAATAAAATCACAAGGAAGCCTCAAATACTAGATCAAGAAAGTTGGCGATGGAGTATTAGCATTAGAGTGTGGCGATGGGACCTTGGGGACAATGTTTGCAGCGACGCGATCCTTAGCATCCCGCTGGCCGTCGGGCCAGCGCTGCAGCCTGGGCGGGGACATCGCCGGCTTGGTCAACCTCAGCACTGGCTTCCCCAGCTTTTCCATGATGTCGAGAGGTGGCAGTGACAATAGGGTCCCCACGGTCTCCTGGCTCACACAGGCAGAAGGCGGCGTGGCCAGGCATCCCTAAGGGCTAGAATGGTTACAGGTGGCAGATTCCGCATACCTGGTGACCCTGGGGTCTTGCCACTCACTGGGAGGGGGGCTGAACCGTGAGCGATTTGTTCTGGGGAAGGAGAGGGAGAGATGGAGCAGAAGCGCTCACTCCACTCCTCTCTGTCCACTGACGCTCTAGCCGCTGCCATGCCGGGCCCTTGGCTGCTGCTCACCCTGGCTCTGACCTTGACCCTGACCGGTTCCCCGGGAGGCCGCGCTCAGCCCCAAGCCGCGCAGCTAGAGGCCGAGATGGCTGCGGAGCATCCTGGCCTGGACGACCTTCTGCGCCAAGCAGAACGGTTCCTTCTTCTCCAGGATGACATCCAGAGACTGCGAGGGGACCTGGGCGAGCCCTCAGGTGAGTGGGCGGGGCTGTTGGTGGCTGCTGGAGGTGAACTGAGCCGCCGGAAGGACTGGGGGACAGGGACGTGGGGTGGGGGGAGGACGACTTGAACCTCAGCCTCCTGCACTTTAGAAATCCTAATGCCACTCCTTTGGCAGAGACTGGAGACGACAATCGGTGGGATCAGATTCCTCTTCTCTCCTGCAAATATTTCATAGAGCAGATCTTCAAGGGACAAGATGCTGTGTGCCCTGCGTCCCCATCATGTGCACAATTTTAGTTACTGTTTATTAGACACTTATTTGCTAGGCACTATTCTAAGCACTTCAGATCCTTACTGAACTAGGTGATTTTTCCCTAGCAAAAATCAATAATAATAATAATAATAATTAATAATAATAATAATTATTATTATTATTATTATTAAATTATTGCTGGGATTGAACCCAGGGGCTCCTTCCTACTGAGCTACATGGCCAGCCCTTCTAAGTTTTTATTTTGAGACAGGCTCTCCCAAAGTTGTTGAGGGCCTCGCTAAGATGCTGAGGCTGGCCTCGAACTCCCGATCCTCCTCCCTCAGCCTCCCTAATCGCTGGGATGACAGTCATGCAACCACCACGCCCAGCAGTTATTCCCATTTCATACAGAAGAAAACCGAGGCTGAGAGAGATTGAGTCACTTCTGGTCGCATAGGCCAGGAAGTGGCAGAGCTGGGACCGGAATTCAGAGGTCATGGCTTTGACCTTCTCTGTGAGGGTGTGTCTCTGGGGCCTGAGAGGCAGATGCAAAATCTCTGGGGGTAGGTGCTGCAAGAAGTCTGCCTTGGCCTCCAAGAGGAAGGCTGGGGTGGGCATTCAGGAAGGTCTGCCTCTTGCGATGGTAAGGTGGGGGGGGGACCCTGATGGCCTCTTTCCTTCCCCAGAGTCCCTTCAACCCGATTCGCTCTCCAAGCGTCAACATCCGGGCAAAAGGGAAGAGGAGGCAGAGGAGGGAGTGGAAGAGGAGGAGGAAGGCGGAGCTGTGGGGCCCCACAAACGCCAGCACCCGGGGCGACGCGAGGATGAGGCTTCGTGGTCTCTAGATATGACCCAGCAGCACAAGAGACAGCACCCTGGCCGGCGCTCCCCGTGGCTGGGGTCCACTGTCACCAAGAGGCAGCACCCAGGCAGAAGGCTGGTGGACCCCCAGGTCCAGGGGAGCTGGGAAGAGGAGCAAGAAGAAGATGCAGGAGAGGGGACCCCGATGGTTGAGAGGCGCCAGCATCCCGGCAAGAGGGCGCTGGGAGGCCCCTGTGCGCCCCAGGGAACCTGTGCCCCATCAGGCCTCCTTCTGGGGCTCCTGAGTGACCTGAGCAGGGGCCAGGGGATCCAGGAGAAGCCGCCCCACCCCGAGCGTCGGGCATCCTGGGCCAGGGAGCCCCTGGAAGAGTGAGCCCTAATTTCCTGGAAAATCCAATTTGGGGATCTAAGGATATCTTAAGTGACCACTCCATCCCAGTCCCCTCTCTCCCCTCCTCCTTAGGTCCCCAGCCACCAACCTGAGCCTCCTGTATAACACACTCCCAAGTCCCTGTCCCTGTCCCCCAGGGCACCCAGGATCTCCTTTCCCTTCCTGAGCATCCTTCTGTAGATGGAAAGAGACTTAATGGAAACTCCCTGTGGGGACAATGGCCCTGCCTGGGAATATTCCATCACAGACCTGGAAGTTGTGGCTTGTATATAACCCCCCCACACACACTTAGGCACCTTCTCCTTGTCCATGATTGATAGTCACCCAAGTGGTAATAAAACATGCGTCCTGATCTCCGAGCTCTGCGGTGGTCACTCTGTTCCAGCTGACACGGGGTTTCTCTTGGGCATCCAGAGGGGCACTGAAAATCAGGGGGCGGGACTAGCTTTCCCCAGTTCTGCTGCCGATGGCCTGGGGGACCCCGGAAAGTCAAAAGTTCTCTCTACTATCCTCATCGCTGGACACATGTGGGAGGTGGATAGGGAGAAAGGACCCAAGGCCGGCCCCAGACACAGCTGGCTGAGGTGGATCTCTGGGATTGAGAGGCCAGTTCAGGGTCCTGACTTGAGTTTCCTGATGGGAGAAGGGAGAGGAGCCTCATGGTGTGGCTCAGGTCTATCATTCTCATGGGCTGGGCTCGGTGGGGGCATACCTGGTAATCCCAGCAGCTGTGGAGGCTGAGACAGGAGGATCGCAAGGTCGAGGCCAGCCTCAGCCACTTAGACTAACCTTGGCAACTTAGGGAGACCCTGTCTCAAAATAAACTTAATCCAAAACCTTTAAGAAACCATGTGTGAATCAAACATTAATAACGATAGTAAAGACCCAAACACAACACCAGGGTGTCCTCAATATTTTGTGTATATAACTTTTTAAAATCCTCACAATAATCTTCCTAGGTATAACTATTACTATGTCTATCTTACTAATGGGGAAGGAAGGATCAGCAAAGTTAAGTAACTTGCTAGTTTAACCTTTCACTTAAGCTAACCTCCACAATCCCTCCAGCCTAGCGAGACACAGTAGTGCACACTTGTAATCCCAGTAGCCGGGGAGGCTGAGGCTGGAGGATCACAAGGTCAAGGTCAGCCTTGGCAATTTAGCAAGAACTTGTCTCAAAATTAAAAAAAAAAAAAAGAATTAAAAAGGATTGGGGATGGAGTTCAGGGGTAAAGTGCCTCTGGGTTAAATTCTCAGTTCAAAAAAAAAAAGAAAGAAAGAAAAATAAAATAAAATAAAATTCCCCATTTTAGGGTTTAGAAGTTCCTGGACACCTGTGATTTTTATTTTTGTTTATTCATTTATCTATTTATTTGGGGGCCCAAGATTGAACCCAGGGGCGCTTAACCACTGAGCCACACCCCCACCCTTTTTTATTTTTTTTATTTTGAGACAGGGACTCACAGAGTTGCTTAGGGCCTCCATCAACTGCTGAGACTGGCCTTGAACTTGCGATCCTCCTGCCTCAGCCTCCCAAGTCAATAGGATCACAGGCCACTGCTCCTGGCTACCATCAGACTTCTTAGAGGCAAGAAATAAATTTGCATTTTGTGAAGTCACTGAGATTTCACGGCCTGTGACCAGATTTGCCAAACACAGATACCTCCTCCCTTTCCTCTCCACACGGAGCTCCTTCCTAAAATCTTTTCCTGCTCACATGCGTCTGCCTTCACGGGTCAGAGCCTGGAACAAAGTAGATGCTCAATAAATATTTGTTGAAGGGCTGTTGCAAGCTTGAGATCAGTTGGATTTTCGTATCCCCGCCGGATTTCCTGGGGTTCCTTGTACTTTGGGGTTTCTTAGCAATAGAGCTGGAAAGTACTGCAATTCTGCTTTCTACAAGGAAAGCGGAATCCTTGAGTGAGCAGGTTATTTCTGTGGGCATTGGGGGCTCCATCTTGTTGGGGATCCTCAGGGGACTAAAGAACAGGCTTTGGAGTTGTCTCACTTGATAGGATGAGAAAACTGCCACTTCGTCTCCCCATTTCCATCCCTGGGGGCTTGCAATCTCCTCCTGGGAATAGGGACCCACTGGCACTTCCAGATTGTCCTGGGAGCCAGCCTCACAAAGTCCCTTAGGTGAAGAATCTCAGCCTTACCTTTGGCATCGACCACCCCAGGTGACACCCGAGTGGACAGAGTGAAGTACCTGTGACCTCTGCTGCAATATGCTGGAGTGACTTTTGCTGAATGGCTTCACCCTCACCAAATTCACGGCCTCCATACTCTCCTGCATGACAGGACCTAGGACAGGGTCTTGCACAAAGTAAGTGCTCAATAAACAACTGAATGCATGAAAAGTAGGATTTGAGATCATCTATCTGATTCTGAGCCCCCCCAGGGAGGTGGTTGGGCAAATCCAAATGCTTACACCAAGCTCTGGGTGCCAGGTTCCTTCAGGCTTATATAAAACTGGTCCCAAGGATGGCCATGGAGCTTAGAGCTTATGTTGAAACCCATGGTAACATCTGCCCAAGTATCCTACCTTTTAAAATATCCTAGAGGACACCAAATGGCCCTCTGTTGTCTTACTTATTACTAACAGAGGGGCCAATCCATTGTGGATGGAATCTGCAAAATGGTAAGCTCGAATAAACCTTTTTTTCTTATAAGTTCATTATCTCTGGTGTTTTCTTCCAGCAACCGAAAGCTGACTAGTAGTGTCTACTTTACAAGTGAGAAATAAGCCAAGCTCAGAGAGGTGATGTGATCAGCTCAAGGTGTACCCTGGTTCTGTAAAATCCCAGATCCTGGGGATCTTTTATCTTGATCTACTCTCCCTCTTGCTGGGGCAGTTTTTGCAAAAGCAGGGTGACTTCTTCACGGACTCACCCCTCACATCCAGCCTGCCTTGCTTGTGAAACATCTCAATGTCACTACTTCCTCTGATATGTTCTTTAATTAATTCTTTCTGCCAACCTTATTTGGATTAATTAAGTGCAATCAGAGGACTGGTTTTCTGAGAGTCTCAGTTCCTGCTCCAGGGCCTCTTGGGTGGGCCGAGAACATGTGGGACTTTTTACCTGAAGGATGTCAACAATTAGAACCCATTTCAATCAGCGGCCGACAAGCCGACTGCCTCAATTAGCTCCTTGGCTAAACGGGGCTGAGAGTTACAGGTTACCAAGGGGACCCGTGGTCCATGCCAGGATTTAAGTGGCTTTTATCTTCCGGGATCATCTTTCCTGAATTGCGGCCACGTTCTGGGGCTGGTAATTATTGGAAGGTTGATTAGACCCTGTCCATTACGGAGTGTGACTTCCTAATCACCAGCTGCTAGAGAGGAAAGCGTCCAGAGATGTCACAGGTACACCCTGTCCCACGTGCCTGGCATTCAAACAGACATGTCTGCTGTGGGCCTGTGGCTTGAATCTCCCTGGGGAGGGGCTCAGGTGCAGCAGCCCAAGGGGGGCGAGAAGCCCTGGGCCATTCTTGGAAGGTTCAAGATCCTCTCTGAGGAGGTGCCCAGCCTAGGAAGAAAAGAGACAACCCCTACTGAGTATCATGCACTGAGCTAATAACAGCCACACTGTAGACTGATACTTCTGTAAATGCAGGGGCTGCGTGTACAGCTGGGGTCCCCTAAGATTAGTGACATCATAGCCGTCTTAGTTTGGGTAGGCACATTCTGTGATGTTTGCACAGCGACGAAACCATCGAATGAGGCATTTCTCAGTACGTATCCACCATGCTAAGTGTAGCAGGACTGGAATGATAACAGTTAGTGTTTATTGAGCACTTATTATGTGCCAAGCACGGCTACGGCTCACTCCACAGGGAAACGATTCATTCGTTCCTCTCTAGGAGGAAACTGAGGCACAGGGAGGTTAGGTGAGTGGCCCACACACCTGAGATTTAAATCCAGGAAGTGTGCTTTCAGGTTCAACAGCTACAGAATGCTAGATCTTGTGCTGAATGAATACCAGCGATTCTCAAAATCTCCCAGAGACCAATGCGCCTCTTCCCATTGAATTGTTTTCTCTTTTGAAAAACACAGTTGATTGTCACAAGCATGTTTATATTAACAGAGCATAGATTTATTACGGCTCTCGTAAATTAATACATATTTTAGAAACTCTCATTTTTAATTTTTACTCTGGGAAATATCAATAGCTATAATCCATATAATGAAAAGTTCTTTAGGGTCCTCAATAATTTTTGTTTTTTTGCCCTGGGGATTGAACCTAGGGGTGTGTGACCACTGAGCCATTTATCTGGGTCCTTTTTATATTTTAGTTTGAGAGAGCGTCTTGCTGAGTTGCTTAGGACCTTGATAAATTACTGAGGCTGGCCTTCAACTCACAATCCTCCTGCCTCAGCCTCCCGAGCCGCTAGGATTACCGGCATGCACCCCACATCCAGCTGTTATGGGAACTTTTTTTTTTAAATTCTATTAAACATCTCTGGAGATTTCTGGTTGAACAGACTGGCTCCCCTTCTTCCTAAATGGACCAATCTAAACAAGGACAATCTAAACATTTCAAGAAAATTTGCAACTTAAAAATCAAAGATATGAAGATGAAGAAACAGAAAAAAACATTGAGCCCAGAGGAAAATAAGATAATTCTAAAAACAGAAATAGATGTTAAAATAGAAAGAGAAAACACGCATTAGTGGGTATCTTCAGAGACAGAAGATAAATTACAGCATCCGTAAAACTAGCACAAAATGATATAGAAATGGAATAGAGAATAAGGAAAAAATAAAACAAAACTAAACTAAATTAAAAACCTCCTGGAAATTAACACTATGATTGCTAGAAATACATAGTTCATCTTTCTTCTTTCACCCTCACCACCCCAACTCTGGTCTATTTTTTCTTTCCTTTTTGTGGTGCTAGAATTGAACCCAGGGTCTCGTTCATGCTAGATTAGAGCCGTATACCACTGAGCACCTCTTGCCTGGTCTATTCTTGCTATTTC